AGAAAACCCTCAATTAGAAAAGAGGGGCTTACCGCTGCTAGATCGGCACGAACGCCGTGGACTTCATGTGCGAGGCATTTTGGTTCTTGAACATTCGTAAGGATGTGCAGAACATCGTAATGGGACAGAGTGACCAGATCTCGTCTGAGTTGTGTTGACGCCGACATTTCACTACCACACTGGGCTGAAAGCAAATCCTTGGAGCAATGCCACTTTTATCAAATTCCTAAGCAAAAACAAGTACTGTACTGGCGAACTCAATATTTTAGAACAGCCCCTCTGCGTAAACGTGCATAACATAAAGGCAGTTGGCACGATGGTTTGCTACTCGGCCTAAAATGCTAGTAGGGCGCTATATAGTGGGGAAATGGCGAAAGAACGGAGTGAAACGGTCAAAATCCTGCGAAGAAAGAGCCTCCGTTCTCAATGTGTTAAAAATCAATTTTGGACGAGTTTCCCGTAGGCATCTTGCCAATCACCGCTACCGAAGATACGGCTGCATATGTGTACCCATGTATGCATGCAGCATCACGGCCGCTTCATACCAATCCCTTCGCTTCATAATTTGCTTAGCAAATGAATGAATACGAGCGTCAGGAACGGTCGTCCATTTGTGGGCGGGCGGGCGTGGCGGGCGTTTGGGTCGGTATGTTGTGGCTTGATAGGGCCCTTATAAGGGCACCTCCCTTGGAAAAGCGCTATGCAGCGCCTGCTCAGGGTCGCGGAATTCCGTCCTGCCAGGCGTATTGATCCTACTCGTCTTGGGGGATTTATCGTGCCAATTGCCTTTAAGGCACTTCCAGCCAAGTCCATAAATAGCATACCCACACCGTGTTCGAATGAAATGCACAGCCACGCCTTCCGTGTCTTTCAATGAGGAATGTGGAGTGGAGATCGGCGCGCACGGAGGTTTCCAGCTAGTTGCTTCCATTCGATTCGATTCCATTTTAATTGATTTCCATTCAATCTCCCTGACCGCCACCGGATACCTTAACATGAACGGCAATCGTGGAGCAGGGGCAGCGAAACGCGGCGCAGATATAGCGGAGATCGAATCAATGACGGAAGCCCGACCGCCCATGGAACTTTATGGTATAGTTGGCCTTAGTAGGAGAGGGGCTACTGCTGTATAATAAAGAGACTCTATCCTCCCTGAAGCTCCAATTTACCGACTCATTGAGATGATAACTCTGTTTTGCCTGATCAGGCCTTGGTCCGAAGTTTGGTTGACGGAACAGAGAGAACAGCAGTGAAATGTGACAAGACAGTCTTTAGCCACCGCACTGGGAGCGTTGCATGCGACGTCGTGTCCGCAAATGACGATGTTTCTAGGAGATGATGCTTGTAGGTCGTAGACGGCGACAATATACAGTGTGTAATCAAAAATAGCCATCGATGTCTATGATGTCGTGGTCAAAATCAAATCGAGTGCTCTAATTTGTAGGTTCAAGTTAAGAAGACGTCGCGCCCAATGTCGCGCGCGACGGAGCCCGGTGCGGATTCCCGGACAGCGGTAACTTCAGTTTCCTTCATCACACGCAATCAGAGCCCATCTATCGTTTCTTATGTGACTCTCATTTTTCGCTTCTCTACGCTGACCTTAGACAAGTACTGTTCATGCTCGAGTAGAAGAAGGCTTGAAACTATCTCTCCACATTTCTCCACCCATCAGATTATGACGGAAAAAAATTATGGATGTGTTGAAAAAAGCGACTAACAGTGAAGATCAAACCATCGCAGGTTGTCCTTTTCGATGCACACTTTCTCGAGATACGGTAACACCATTGAGAGGTCATTGTGTGAAAAATGACGGGATCTGAGAAGCACAATTTTTAATTTCGAAAAACAAAAACACCGAAAAGTTAATAACTATTGCATTTTTACAAACCGAATCATGAAATTGACATCGTGTTGAATACAGCTGCCATTTTCAGCTCTTCTATAGCACCAGTAAAGGGCGGCACGTTGATTGTCAATATAAAGTACTTGGTACTTGACTGAACAATATTGTACGAATTCGCATTTTGCTTATGCCTCTCCAGAAATCACAGCGCCATATTTATTTCCAATCCCGCGTTCTTTAGGACGGAGCCATCTAGATCATCATCAGAATCTAAACTATTGCGTTTTCTCCATTGGTGTATTATTTCTTCTTGCTATAGTCGAAGGGAGAAGCGTATTGAGAACCTTTTTGCCATAGTGACTATACCCATGCTAACAGTGCAGAACGTGTCTACAAATTTTATTCGGATGGGCTCTAATATACAGGGGAGCCAAAAAAAGTCACTTCGACCGCAGCCACATTGATCCGAGTCAGCAAAGTTTTCGCAGCCCAGACAGAGGACGTGGATACGAGTACCAGGGCGGAAGATACCCAAGATGTTCCTCGATAAGCAGGAGCTGGCTCTCGCCCATCACCTTCATGTACACCAAAATATGAAGTCATCTCCAGTCGCAGCCGACTGGAGAAGACCTTTGGAATTCATGTCACCTCCAAACAGCTGCGAAACTTCTAGTATGGAGTCACCCATGGATAGCTACCTGGAGACCAGTACTCTCGATCTGGAAGACCTCCAACATCGAGCAGCTCCGACAACGTCGCCACGGTCTAGGACATCATCTTCACCACAGTCGCCAAGGCGCGGGTTGATGGTATGGACCGGACGTACCTGGACCAATATTTTCTTCGTGGACCCCGGACTGAAGGTGAGCGCTGGCGGTTACATCGAGCAACTCGAGAAGAATATCCTCCCCACATGTCGTCGCCCGTACCTTCTTGGAAACTTTGTACTGCTACAGGATTGGGTGACACCACATGGAATCGAAGGGCGTTGGAAAACTCTCGCCTACTTGGAATGGAAGGGCGTTGAGTACCTGAAGAAGATGGAATATCTAAGTGTGTCACCTGACCTAAACCCCCTCAATTACCCGGTTCGGGCGGAGTTCAGGGTGGTCTACAGTGGCGGAGAAATCAACGATCTCGCTGAACTCAGGCACCCACTCACGGTCGCGTGGCAGAATCTCTCGATGGCGCTCCTCCAGAAGGCTGTGGCGGAGTATCATGATAGTATTTAATATGCTCTTTAATATGGTGGTAGAAATGTCCGATCAGAATTCAATAAAGTGTAACTTATAGCGCCTCGAAAGTCAAGAAGAAAAGTGACTTTTTTGCCCCTCCCTGTATATCTTCCCCAAATTTTCGGAAGTCTTAAGGTTGAGTGGGCTTTTTTATCAGAAAAACGGCACTGTTAGGCTTGGGGAAAGAAGGCAGGGAAAGTGAGGGCGGGATTTTTCATTTTTCGTGGTTCTTTTCGTCAGCCCATGTTAAGTAATGGTCTCATGTGGGCTCTGGTGAAGCATCGAAGGGTACTACTGAGCTTTTTTCTCTTACAAAATCCACCGTTCCTCACGAGGTGGTCCGTAGCTTTGCTGAGTACCATTTGGCCCCTCCGCAGCCGAATTGCGTCGAAAATACGTCCCGTCTTTCCCGGGACCTCTGGGACTTCCGAAGCCAAGTATTAGACCATTATAGCCCCGCGATTCTCTTCACTCTTCCTTCGTTCCTGTTCCTTTTTCCTGGCATTGAGATAACTAGTGGCACCCCAATAAGCCACCTAAGGTACGGGCTGGCGACGTCCACTTTATGACAAAGCGCAGAAACAAGTGAGAACTTATTGACTACATGGGCTGATATTCTGTAGCACTTCTACGTTTAGTCAATCAAGTAGTAAGTTTTTGATGGGTGATGAATTAGATTCTGAGCCCTGCGCGCCGCGTGAAGCCGATTTCACCACGGCATCAGTGTGGCTCTTCCTACCTACGGTCGTTTCCAACGATTGGTGGGAAAGGGATTGGCACCGCACCAAACCAGCTCCCTTGACGCGCCCCAGCGTCCACTTCGGAAACGGCTGTACACAATTGTTCCTTCCGGGAAACGGCTGTACACAATTGTTCAATTACTCACAATTCATGGTATTTCGAAACTTTGGCACTAATGTGTAGCGATACTCGATGGTAACGTCCAGGGTGGAGTTCTGTAGCAGAATCGCTATCCCTTCACGTGGACCAACACATTTCACTGTCCGCTTCCTTCTGGTCATGGCATATGCGTAGATTCTTATGGACGAGAGAAGGACTGGATAACTATCACTTAGGGAACTTTGATGTTTTAACTAGTAATTAATATATTAATTCAAATTTCAATAATCTTCTCAAAAAGCAGGTGGCCTAATTAGGCGCGCGTTATCCAAATACATATTAAAAGCATTCACTACCGAGATCTCAAGCTCAGGGTGCCGATTCACTACGCAGTCTCCTCCAAAAGTGTTATGGCCATCTTCACGATGTTTCTCCATGACAGTGGTTTACTGAGCTCCACTATGCCGTATCTTGATATGGGGACTAGCGGGCGAATTGTTTTCGAAATATGAGGTTTTTGATTGCAGGCTCCGAAGACAGGCGATACTGCCGAAACGTCCAGTCCTGGTAACCAACGGACTTTATAACAAGTCTCGGATTTGCTCAATAAAGTTCTGTGATACTGCTGCGCTCATACATTGCACACGACGCATAATGGAGAGTCAGTCGATCCCATGGGCTGCTTAACTCGCACTACTGACAGGAAACGTCAACAGGTCAGCGCCAGGCATTTCTAATGCAGGTGCATATTATCGTGTACGTCCTTGAGAGCGGCGAACTTCAATTCCTAATAATACTCTTAGGATATTGTTGAGCGACACGCAGTCGATTGTCTCGAGTGCTGAACGGAGTTGATGGAGCAGTTTTACCCACGTTTCGCTGTTTCACATGCTATCGCGAGGAAACGTGGAAGCGTCTTTACATTTATGTATGGAGTCATGCTGAAACGTGGTAAATATTAGAGCGCAACGGGTAGCGAGCGGGTTTCTTAGGCGAGATGACGTAGGATCGGTCAATTTTTTGCACTTGTCCAAGAACATGGCCGTAAAAGCTTTAACATCTCTGCTCGCCTGCACTACCCTGTAAGGGACTGCGATCAGTTTTTTTCGAAAGTGTAGACCCATTGTGGCCTGAAAGAGTGCTTCTGCTTGTACCCCTCGTAACACATGTCACAAGGGTTTTTGCAATGAAATACCATCATATTCATGTTCAGCGGGTCAAATTACCCCTGGGGACAAGTTTCTAGCCGAATCTGATATTTCGACCTCACTTGGAAAATGTGGGCTATTCCATGGGTAATTAGCAGCAGATTGGAGCTCACCTACCATCGATGACTGGTCTCGGGATGGAATTTCCTCCCGGTAATCAGGAAAATGATGCAGACGGCACGAATAAGTAAGCCAGGTACTGTTGTTTGCGAAAAGACATGACTGAAGAGTTAGACCAGTCATCACCAGTATGCCAGT